ATAGTTATGATTTCCGTGTTTTTCTGCCATTAGTATTTTATCTATAGTTGCATTCTGGGACTGATTTCCTGCTCAGTGTTTCTGAGGATCAACTATGAGCTAAAGATGCTCATCATGCTAACAGCCGTGGTGCTCTACAGCGTCATCATACTTCAAACACACGCATTTCTGCTGGATGAGTACAATAAATTCCTCTACAAAACAGAGATCCTGGATAGGTGAGAACTTGTTATCTACACTATATGGTCAGAATAATGTAGGGAGCAATGCACTAATATATGGTTGGGCATTGATATTAATAGAAAGTTTGTCCTTCCTGTTCTTCTAAATATAACAACTTCCATTCCTCTGGTAAGGCAACTGAAACATGGCTGCATAGATTTTCGGACAAAATAATTTTGCAGTTAGCATTTAAATGTTTTTTTGTTTTTTTAAGTCAGTCATGTCCACACCAGACTCGGTAAACCATTTCTTTAGGATCGTACTTTGTGCATGAGGTCATTATCATGCTGGAACAGAAAACAGCTCTCCAAAAACTGTTGCCGCAATGTGCAAAGTACATCACTGGATTTAATGGTCCCTATAAGCAGAAGTGAGTGTCTACTTCTGGCCATGTACTGTATTGTATCAACTTCAACATTAAATCTAAAAAACAAAAATACAAAAAATACAAAATAAGTAAATTAACAGTAAACGTATGGTGTAGCTAGTCAAATCTGCTTTCATATGGTAATCAAAGGTAACCATGTGCATATTTATATGATGACAGGATATTTAGTGTCAAACAATACATACAATAATACAAAAACTCTTGCTATGTTTGGCTCATTTATCCCAAAACTAGCACAGCAAAAGAAAATTTGGATTCGCTTCGTGCACAACAGTTTCCTGAAGATTACAGATTTTGTTCTAGAAATCAGAGCTGCATGTTGAAAATAAATCACTGAACCAACACAGTCACTTCCTGCTAATTGACAGCTGGGGTGGACATGGTCTGCTAGCCATCCTGCGTACAGATGATTTGTTACAAACTTATGTAGTGATGCTGACAAGTCTTATATCTCTCTCTGTCTCTCATCAAAACAAGGCCAGGAGTTCTAAAAGACTTGAAAACTATGGGCTCTGTGTCTCTCTTTATATTCTTCATCACCCTGCTTGTTCTAGCTAGACAGGTGAGATATTTTTTT